GGACCTTTGATAAATTAAAGCAGGCCTGACTGGAGGCCCCAGCCTGAGGACTGCCAGACTGACATAAGCCTTTGATTTGTTTGTGCATGAGTATCAAGGCATAGCTCTGGTGCCTAAGGCACTTGACTGGTAACCAGACGGCTGGCGGTTCAAACCCACCAGCCACTCCTTGGAAGGAAGGTTGGGCAATCTACTTCCATAGTGATACTGCCTCGAAAACCCAAGAAGGGGTCACTAGGAGTCGGGTCTGACTCGGGGGCACATAACAACAACAACATCAAGGCATAGTGGCCAGAGTTCTCACATAGTTCCTGGGATTTTGGAGAAGACCGGTGACATACTTTTCCAAAACTTTAGATCCGGTGACACAGTACTGGCCTTCCAGCTTGGAAGTGACAGCAGCAACAGTGAGGATGCTGAAAGCCGCTGACAAGCTAACCTTAGGATGGAAAATTCGGGTTTATGTTGCTTATTCAGTCCTGGCAGTCCTAGACCCAAGAGCCACCCACTGGCTGTCCTGAGCAAGAACTTCTCAATATCAGGCCTCCTTAGGAGACGAGCCAAGCATGCAGATCTAGCCAGCAACTAGCATAAACCTGGCCACACTGGGGCCCACTTTGCCTCAAGCAGCCCCCATTCACTGTGATTGTGTCAGGACCCTTAACCTGGGTTATACCAACAGGCCAGATCTCTCTGACCAGCCACTGTGAGAATCTGACCTTACTTGTTTCACAGATGGAAGTAGCTTCTGTAGAATGGACGATGGAAGGTAGGCTACACAATCAGCAGCCTTGCCAAGGTCTTAGAAGCACAGATGATGCTCTCTCATGAAACGTCAGTGCAGACAGCTGAGCCAATGACCATGACCCAGGCAGGCATTGAGAATGGCACAGAGTCAGAGGTGACGGTATACACGGATTAGAAAGGCCTTCGCCTGCAGGACTGAGAAAGCCATGGAGTAGCCAAAAGACTATTGGGAGAAACTATTCCTAGGTCTGAAATTCCCAGGTGGCTGGGGTCAACAACGCAACTCATTTCAGTGGCATAATAAACCAGTTGGTGTCTCAACATTTGTGTATTGAGGGAAAGTTTTATGCTGCTTGGAGACCCCAATTAAGTGGTGAAGTAGAAAGGGTAAATCAAACTTTAAGGACTCATGTAGCTAAATTATGCCAAGTAATTAAATTAAACTGGGTAAAAATAACTCTCCCCATGGCCCTGTTCAGAATCAGAGTGGCTCCCATAACAAAACTGAAGGTAAATAAATCCCTTTGAGATGGTGTAAGGGCACCCCTAGTGCAAAACCTAAGTGCCACTGATTTGAATTATACCATGCTGATGTGAATTTAGGGGCTGGAAGTATTCATGAAAAAAGTAACCTGTTTATAAAACACTATTTTCAGGTAACCAGGCAGACTTTACAGACCCTGTGGGAGGATAAGGCTCTTCTCAACCCTACAGGCCACTTCCCGAGGTCCCTGTGCACACTGCTGACCCTGGAGATGAGACTATGTGAAGGCCTGGAATCCTGAGGCCCTCGCAAAAGTTGGAAAAGACCCTGTGAAGTCTTGCTGTCCACACCTACCACAGTGGAAGTGACTGGCATGGGAGCATGGATAACACATCAGGGTTAAGACTGCCCCTGCCCCTGCGCCGGAGGTCACTCAGCAGGGCCCACCTGGTACAATCCCTCAGAACTGGGAGGAACTCCACTGGGAGAACTTAAATGGCTTTCCCAAAGAAGCCCCACCAATGGCTAAGTAGACTCTGCTTTGTGCAGAAGCGAGTCATTTCCTTTCTATTGTGCCTCACAGGGATCCACTCTGCAGAACAATGTGCTTTAGGTTCCCTCACTTCTCCTACTGGATATACTCTATTTCCTCCATTTTCCAGAAGCCCAGGTCAGGCGGAAATGAGACTTCTTTTCTGTCAGCCCTGCATCATTAGGCATAGCAGGAACAGAAATAGTCCAGCCTTAGACAAGACCAAGAGGGGGCTGGGGTGGCTTTTTTTTTTAAGCACGATCATGTCCAGCTTGAGGATGTAGATATAGATAGAGACCATCCTATTTGAAACTGTGATCCCTGAATCTGAGGACTTACAGATTTCAGCATTTCTAGGAAATTTCAAGTCATTATATATTTGAATGTTGTATTTCTCCATCTCTCTCTCTCTCTCTCTCTTAACTTTTTATTATTATTTATTTACAAAGCACATTCCTTTTAAACTCAACAGTTCACACACATTTTGTTTCAGGACGCTGATTACGTTCGCCACAATGTAACAGCTCTCCTCCCACATCCTCGCTGTGGTCACCCTTTCTCTGTGTCCTTCTCCCCTATGCATTCCTTCCCCCTTAACTTTCTCCCTGTGCAAATGCTGCCCTTCTGAGCTACCGTGGTTGATTGTCCTAAGGAGTGCACCTCTCTGGTGTAGGTGTTCAGCTCATAGGGGTGTGTCTATTGTCTGTTTGAGAGTTAAGCCTCAGGAGTGAGTCTAATTCCAGTCCTGAAGGGTGACAAGGAGCTATCATCTTGAGGATTTCACCAGTCTCTGTCCAACCAATAAGCCTGGTCTTTTTTAAGATTTTAAATTTTATTTCATATTTCTTCTCCCACTCTATT